GGTAGGGCGGCGACGGGGCCGCTGAAGGGCGGCGGCGGGGCCGCTAGAGGGCGGCGACGGGGCCGCGGTAGGGCGGCGACGGGGCCGCTGAAGGGCGGCGGCGGAGCCGCTAGAGGGCGGCGACGGGGCCGCGGTAGGGCGGCGACGGGGCCGCTGAAGGGCGGCGGAGGGGCCGCTAGAGGGCGGCGACGGGGCCGCGGTAGGGCGGCGACGGGGCCGCTGAAGGGCGGCGGCGGGGCCGCTAGAGGGCGGCGACGGGGCCGTTTGGAGGGCGGCGACGGGGCCGCGAAAGGGCGGCGACGCGGCCGCGAAGGGCGGCGGGTGGGCCAAGAAGGCGGCGACGGGGCCGCGAGAGGGTGGCCGGGCCGCAAGGGGCGGCGACGGGGCCGCGAAGGGTGGCGACCGGGCCGTGAGGGGGGGGGGCGTGAGAGGGGCCGCTAAGGGCGGCGCAACGGGCCGCTAAGGGGAGGGCGGCCCACAGGGCGCGCCTCGGTCAGGGGCGACTCGATCTCAGGGCAGAGAAAAAAAAAAAAAAATTAGTGGTGGGCCCAAGGAAAAGTTCCCACTAGGGAACCTGCTCTATACCATGTGAAGAAATGAGGAAATGGATGAACTAGGAAATGAGTTGGGTACAAATATGCAACCCTAGAATGCTGTACCCCATACTGTCTACCCCACTACAGCCTAGAAAGAATATAGCATATGAGTTCGACATGGCTGTGCACGAAGGTACTGTAGTGATTTATGGTCTGTCCGTACTGTCACGTCCGCGCCAGTCAAGTAACAGTGCCATACTTTGAACGCGTGCACGATCGCAAGCATTTCGCGGTCGTGTATCGGGTAATTTTTCTCGGGCGGATGCAGTTTTCGTGACTCGTATGCGATAGGCTGTAGGCCATTGCCGAAATCCTGTAGCAGTACGGCTCCGATAGCGATATCGCTTGCGTCGGTAACTACTTCGAATGGGCGGTGTGGGTCGGCGATGCGCAGGACGGGCGGTGAACAGAGAACATTTTTCAAGGCAGAGAAGGTAGCATGCTCTTTCTCCCCCCACGTAAAAGCGACCCCCTTCCGCAGTAAATCCGTCAGTGGGGCAGTTAACCGTGCCATATCGGGGACGAACCGACGCACATAATTAACGAACCCTAAAAAGCTCTGCAGCTCCGTGATGTTCGTCGAGGGATGCCACGCTTTTACCGTATCCAGCTTCTTTGGGTCGATTTCAACTCCAGCCTCCGAAATAACGTGCCCCAAAAATTCTAACCTATCCTGGAAAAACTCGCACTTGGAACCCTTGGTCAGTAATCTGTGCTCGTCTAAAACCTTAAACACTGCTTCCAGATCTGCTAAGTGCTGCTGCTGATCCCGACTGTACACTAGGATGTCGTCGAGGTAAACTATTACACATTTATCTAAGAGCGGCCTAAATGCCTCGTTCATGGTCATCTGAAAAGTCGCCGGTGCGTTGGTCAGCCCGAATGGCATCACAGTGTACTCGAACGACCCGTACCTAGTCCTGAAAGCTGTTTTGGCGCAGTCCGATGGTTCGACCCTAATCTGATGGTAACCTCCCCGTAAATCTATTTTCGAAAAAACCCGTGCTGTTCGCAGTTGGTCGATCAGTTCGTCGGCGCGGGGAATGGGGTAGCGCGACTTGACTGTTACCCTGTTCAGTGCTCTGTAGTCGATACACATGCGAAAACCCCCGTCTTTTTTCGGCGTGAATAGTATCGGTGCGGCGAACGGTGACGAGCTCGGTCTGATGAATTTTTTCTCTAACAGGTAATCTAACTGCTTCCTTAGTTCGTCGAGCTCGGGCTGTGTCAGTCTGAACTGGCGCTGTACGGTTGGCTGTGCCCCCGGTTCTAATTCGATTCGGTGGTCATGTGCTCGCTGAGGTGGCAGTCCTTCCGGTAAGTCGTCGGGGAAAATCCCGGGGTATCGTTTCAACAGTTCCTGTAATTCGGGTGGTACGGCTGCCAGCAGTTTCTTGAAATCACTCAGCTGCTCTGCTTCCTCTACTACTGCGATGTCTACTGCGTACACGTCAGCTCCAGCAGCGACAGCCCGTTTCATTGTGATGGCGTTGACGTGTACCGTTGAAGACTCGGGCGACTGCCAGCGAGGTAACTCGACCCAGTTACCACTACTTCGCACGGTGCAGCTACCCGTCGTCCAGTCAATTCGCGGGTTATACCGTCGCAGCCAATCACGTCCCAGTAAAATATCGTGCCCATCCAGTGTCGTTGCGAGCATTTCCTGTGTAAACCCGAAATTTCCCCCGCAGCGGACTTTGACTCTCTCTACCTTTTCCCGTATGGCCAGTGTCGTGCCGTCGACTAAGCGTGCGTCTATCTCCGGTAAGCAACGGCTAAGCGTCAGCTGCAGTTTTCGTGCGGTTGCGGTATTAACTAAACTGTGGCTTGCTCCTCCGTCGATAAAAATCTTCACTGCTGCTCCCTGTATTTTCCCGTGGATCAGTACTGGGCAATTCGTCGCTGTACCCTCCTTATTCGTCCGAGTCCGATCGATAGCATGAATCGGTACTGTGACTCGGTGAGGGTCGGTGGGGTTGGGCGAGCAGGCAGTCTCGTCAGTAGTTGGCCCGATTCCTACTGACTGCTGGCGTTTCCCTGCTTTGGAGACTCCCTCCCCTGCTCTGCTCCGCGGCGCCTTAGCTCCTCTGGGCATTCGCTCTTGCGATGGCCCGGCCTGTTGCAAGCAAAGCAGCGCCCCTTAAACGGCGTGGCAGCTGCATTCGTCGCAACAGCGTGTACAGTGGCGTGCTCGATCCGTCCCCGAGGACGATGTCCATAGTAGGACCCCGGTGTGAATCAAGAAAACAGGAATGGAATGACTAAGTGAAAGTTGGGTACAAAAGGCAAACCCTAGGCAACTGTACCCCATATGTGCTACCCCACTATAGCCTACAGTAGCTATGTCATATAACTCTGACACACCCCCATAGGCAAAGTGGGGGAGAACAAGGGGTCACAAGACCAGTCAAGCAAAGCAAAGCAAGCTCAGGGTGGATCACAAAGTCACCACACATTCCGAGCACAAGTTCAAGGCCACAAGGCCAGTTCACATGCAGGATTACATATATATACAAGGCTAGACAAGCAAGAGCAGGAGTATATATATATGCAACAGTACAAACAAGGTCAAGAGGTGAGCAAGTGAGGCAAGGTAGGTACAAGACCCAGCTGAGTACAGAAGCGCTGATGATCACAAGGCGCAAGTGCCTTGGTGAAGATATCAGCAGTGTTGGCCTCAGAGGCCACGTACGCAAGTCGCAGCTGACCACGCTGCTGTAGCTCACGAGCAAGGAAGTAGCGAAGAGCAATGTGCTTCGTTCTATGCTCTAGTCTGTGCTCCCGACACGGACGGCGTAAAATGTCGATTTTCGGGTCGAAGCAGGGCGGGCGTTGCGGCTTGAGTAGCATTGGTGCCATAATGGCCTGTTCGCCACTTGTCGCCGCGAACTCCACGTGCCGACGGGCTTCGCGAGGCTCCCGCGGGCTTGGTGCGACACTGTTTCCTCCCATGCCAGGCATCGGCTGGGCGGCGCCATCGATGGCTGCGCCTGAGCGCTGTCCCACGCTGTTGTTTTGTGTTGGTGTGCCGGACGAGATGACGATCGGCTCGTCTGATTGTGCAGATGCATTTGTCGGTGCGTGTGGTGGCGCTGGAGTGTTCATTGTTGATTGCTGACGCGCGGAGTCACGTTCCGCCGTGAGCGTCGCAATTTCGAGCGCCGAATCTTCAAGTTGGCGCACCAGACGGTCGAGCTGCTCCTGCGTCAATGTGGCGAGCGTGAATTCGGCCATGGCGGGGTTGTCGGGCGAGCTCAGCGAGAGCCTCGGTCGTGGCCGTGCGTGCTTACGAGAGAGCACTACGAGCGGCGGTGCTGTGTCGCTGAGAGACGTCTACCCCCCCCAAAAATTGAGATAGTGGGGAAGCGAAGGTGTGGGTGCGGTCCGAGAGGAGATCGTAGGCTCTGAATACCAAGTGTTACGAGTGCAATTGAGTGAACGAACGAGAATTGCACTATCGAAGCAAGAGTACAATGAGCGAAGGCATGAGCGAAGAATATATAGCGAAACTACAGTGGTAACGGTAATGGACTGTGGTTGTCGCGCGACGGGCCTGGGACTGCGGTTGGGAAAAGTGTCGAAGCGGAGGCCCGGAGCGCGGGTTACCCGCCGAGCCGTGAGGTCGGCGTGTGATGTGCGAAGGTGGCGGGCGGATTGTCGATGCGAGGGTTGCGAGTGGTAACGGTGCTGACTGTGGTGCTACAGTGATGTACGCGTTGAGCAGGGATGCGAAGTAAGGAAAAGGAATTTTCCTTAGAGACACAAAGTTTGGTGCTGGTAGCATTTCTCTTTTAGTCACGGTTCGGCTTGTTCGCCTAGCCTCTTGGGCAGCTCGGGGTCGAAAATCCTACGGTCGAGATTTTCTGGCCCTACTTTGGTCATCCCTCTGGCACTTTTCGGCCCCAGTTTGATCATTTCCCGAGTTGGGAGAAGAGCGCGTGCGCAACGGACGGTGGGATCGCCATTCTCTCACTGCTTTCCACGCCGCCTCGCATTGCGTGGAGCGAGTAATAGAAGCAAGACAAAAGCGCTGTGAAAGAGCTCAAGTATGGCTAGGAGTGAGGGTGGAAGCGAATGAGTTTAGTTGCGAGGTTTGGTGATTGCGCGTGGGTCCAGTGTCGCCATCTGCGCCCTCCGCCCTTCCGGCAGGCGCGCGTGCGGGCGCAGGTGCGGCGGTGAAGCGGCAGGTGCGCGTGGGACGAGGTGGGCGACGAGCCCATTGCGAGCGCGAGCGGCGGATCCACGCGGCAGCGCCATTCGCGCGCCACCCGACCGTGCCCACCACTCACTGCACGCTGCTCGCCCACCCCCGCCCCCGCGCGCCACTCACCCACACCCACCCCCGCGCGACAGTGACCCTTTACCCCACCGCGCGGCAGTGAAGCTTACCCAGAGGCGCGCGGCATGGGCGTGGTGGTAGGTCGCAGGCGTGCGTGCGCGGTTGGGTTTAGGGCTGGTGGGCGTGTGGGCAGCGCGCTTCACTCGCCATCCGCGCCACCACCGCACCACTCATCACCGCCCCACTCCAATTCCCGTAAGCCTCTCCCACACACACCCCACCACCCTGCCGCTTGACTCAGTATCGCGCTCACCCGTGCAACACGCGTGAGTGGGGAGAGTGAGTGGGGAGATTGAGTGGGGAGAGTGAGTGGGGAGAGTGGTGCGTGCGGTGAGGGCATGAGAGGGCGCAAGGCATGAGGCAAGTGCAACACGAATGCGCTGCTAGTGCTGTCCAGGTGAGAGTGCCTTTGCGGCGCACAGTGTGACAGCGGTGGGCGTGGCCCGTGAGCACTCCGTGTGGCCCGTGGTCGTGACAGCGTGGCATGTGATGCGCGTGTGCTGTGTGGCACTCGCGCGCATCACAGCTGTGGCGCGTGCCCGTGGACGACGGCTTGCCCAACCACGTGCTGCTGTGCTGCGCCCTCCCTGCTGCCCACCCACCGCCGCCACCTCCCTCACCCACTCCAACGCCCGCCACTCCCTCAACTCCACCCGCCACACGCGCTCTCACCTCCGCCTCTCCCTCGCCACACACCCGCCGCCCTTGCCTGCATGCATGCCTCTGCTTCTCTCGCCCTCTCTGCTCTTTCGCCTGCACGCGCATGCTCGTGCTGCTGCCCACGTGGAAGCGGGCGAGGGAGTGCAAGCAGGGGTGGTGCAGGGGGTGGCAGCAGGGGCGCGCAGGGAGGGCAAGTTGAGGCAGCTACTGCGTGGCGGCGGGGGAGTATTCAGCTTCTACACTCTGCACTGCAACTGGCGTTCGCTCTTGAGGTGGGTGGATTGGGGGGAGTGCGCATGGGGCAGTGAGCGTGGAGTGAGAGGGGCCATGGTTGATGTGGCATGGTGCATGCAGGATGCGGGGCACATGCCATTGGGGGAGGAACCACCTGCATGCACATCCCACCCGCATGCTCTCCACATGCGCGGCCCCCTTGCCGCCCCCTTGCTCCTCTCCCACCACCATTCCTTGCTTCGCCCTGCTTACCACCCGCCAGCCAATGCGTGCCCTTGTTGCTGCGTGCTGTGGATGTGCGTGGGTGGTAGTGGGTGGGGCTGTGCATGGGGGTGGGTGGGGATGAGGGCAGGTGAGTGCGTGGATGAGGCATGATGGGGGGTTCAAGGAGCTGCACTGCCCTTCACTCTCGCGCATTGCCCATCACGCCCATTCACACGCCTTGTATGCCTCCATGCACCTCATTGCCAATCACTGCACCTAACCCTACTTTGCAACCTAACGCTGCGTACCTCTCACTCCTCTCCGCCCATTCCCCTCCCTCCCTCCCCCCTCCCTCCCTCACTCCCTCCCTCCCTCCCTCCCTCCTCCCGAACTCACTCCCTCCTTTGCTCCCTCACTCACTCACTCACTCTCCCCCCCTTCCTCCCTCCCTCCCTCCCGTCCACCCTCCCACTCTCTCTTGACGCACCTGCAGCAGCAGGGAATGACAGCCAGGCGTCAGTCACTTCCCCACGCACACGCCCACGCCCACACCCTGATCTTGCTGCCACACCTTCATGCTTGTGCTGCAGCCTGCCTCATATGCTGCAAGCGAGGGACGTTGCTTCTGAAAGCTCTGTCCTGTGAAACCACTGCCTTGGTCCGTCTCAACTCATCGTGCTCTGCTGTGCGTCACGAGGGCTGTCAAGTGAAATCACAAGCGCTGCCGCTGCAGCAGAAATTGAGGTGTATGGTACGGTACTTGAGCAGGCATTGTGTGTCGACTAAGAATGGACAGTCACAGCATTCGCTGACCACAGCAGTATCTATAGTAGGCCGTGCAAGGTTACTGCATCCAGTAATACTCCAATGCCACTTCAAATACTATAATCATAGCCAATGCTACCTTGTAGATCTGCACAACTAGCCACAATTTCAGAGGAACTAATAACTATTTGCTATCCCAGTCCTGACCTGAGCCATCCCTTAAGGAGCACATCAGTCCTGAGCCATCCCTTCAGGAGCACATAATTCCTGAGCCATCCCTTCAGGAGCACATCAGTCCTGAGCCATCCCTTCAGGAGAACATCAGTCCTAAGCAGGCCTCTCGATATCAGGGTGATTCACCCTTATGACCCTTACTATAAGGGCGGGTTTGACTATGCACCCTTTTTTACAAGACTGGTTTTGTTTTAGACCCTTACAAAAAAAAGTGATCGATTATACGACACTGATATTTCAGAGCTATGTGGTGTAGGCACTGATGAAATCGATTTCGATCTAAGAGAGGATACCAGGTTTGGTCGCGTAAAACATTTATTCGCGCAGAACGCCCACGCCGAGTATTGAACTTGGCTCCTCCACATAACTGCGACGAATCAACATACACACCAGAAATACATACTAATTTGTTTGCACCCTGACTTTTAAGAGCTGTTTCTTTGAAGCACCCTTACTGAAAGAGTAAAGGCTGGGTGTTGGCCTTACGAGAAAGAGTACCCCAAATCCTATCCAGAGGCCTGCCTAAGCCATCCCTTCAGGAGAACATCAGCAGAGCAGCAGTTTTTTTTGCTTTTAACCCTCCATCCACCAAGGTCAGCAATCCCGCACTCCCACAAACACCCTGCTGTGAAGCAGGCTGCAAAAAAGGGTGGTGTCCCACCATGGTCTCCAGCCCGCATCCCCAAACCGCCCCACAACCCCCCACTGCTATGCATCTGTCTGTGTCATCCGCCACCTTTACGCTATCCCACCATTTCCCTTCATTTTATACATATACATATATATACACACATATATATTCTTCGTTCTGTATTTCCTCTTTTTTTTACAATTCATTTTTTCTCACTGGAGTGGTAAAGGCCGTCATGGGTGCCTTGAGGTGGCGAGCACGACCTTGGGTGTTGTGCTAGGCCGCTTGCGTGCAGCTTCAGGTTGCACTCCCCTCACCTCCCTGTGCGGTGCAGCACAGGTAGTCCTGGGAATCAGAGTCGCTCCCTCCACGCGCCTCACATTCACTCCCTTGCTGCTCGGTTTAGGGATGTGCGTCGTGTGAGAGTTGGAACGAGAATGGTGAACTAGGAAATGAGCTGGGTACAAATATGAAACCCTAGAAAGCTGTACCCCATACTGTCTACCCCACTACAGCCTAGAAAGACTATAGCATATAAGTTCGACACACCCCCATAGGCAAAGTGGGGGAGAACAAGGGGTCAGAAGACCAGTCAAGCAAAGCACAACAAGCTCAGGGTGGATCCCAACGTCACCACACATTCTGAGCGCAAGTTCAAGGGCCACAAGGCCAGTTCACATGCAAGCATATATATATAAAGCTAAACATGCAAGTGCAAGTATATATAGGTCACAGTACAAGCAAGGTCAAGAAGTGAGCAAGTGAGGCAAAGTAGGTACAAGACCTAACAGAGTACAGAAGCGCTGATGATCACAAGGCGCGAGTGCCTTGGTGAAGATATCAGCAGTGTTGGCCTCAGAGGCCACGTAAGCAAGTCGCAGCTGACCACGCTGCTGCAGCTCACGAGCAAGGAAGTAGCGAAGAGCAATGTGCTTCGTTCTGTGCTCCAGTCTGTGCTCCCGACACAAGGCCAGCATGGCCTTGTTGTCTACGTACAGAACTGGAGGCGAACGAGGCTGCTCTCCAAGGTCAGTCAGCAGGTAGGTGAGCCAGCGTAACTCATGTGCAGCCATGGCCCCCGCGTAGATCTCAGCCTCACAACTGGAGCCGAGAACAGAAGACGAGCGGGTAGACCGCCACGAAACAGAGCCGGAACCAAGGCTGAAGGTGTAACCCTGTGACGACCGCTGCGTAGCCTGGTCGTCAGCCCAAGAAGCGTCTGCGTGACCAGTGAGGGCCACTGGACTCCACCCTCCAAGCACAAGCCCCATGCCCGACGTACTGCACAAGTAGCGCAACACCCTCTTCGCTGCAGCCATGTGCTCTGGTCTGTGTCTCCCAGGAGCAACATAGCGTGCCAGAATGCTAAGAGGGTATGCAAGGTCAGGTCGAGTGCAGGTCATCAGGTACATGAGGCAGCCAACAAGCTCTGGGTACGGGCCACTCGGCTCTACGGAGTCATCCGAAGGCAGAGCTGAGAGCGAGTGGCGAGTAGACAGAGGAGTGGCCTGAGGCGAGGAGTACGTGAAGCCGAAGCGCTGAAGGACCTGCTGCACCATGTGTGACTGAGTCAGGGTAATATTGCGCTGTGCTCTGTCCCGGGTGATCTGCAAGCCAAGGTAGCTGCGCAGTTCACCCAGGTCTGTGCACGTGTGTCTCTTCTGCAGCTCGGACTTCACGTGAGCGAGTCCAGCAGTGTCAGCTGTGGCAAAGACCAAGTCGTCGACGTACACGAGGATGTAGAATGGCGGCAAAGAAGTGTCGGTGCGCAGAAACAGCGACGGGTCGGCAGTAGAAGGAGCAAACCCAAGAGCCGCAAGTGTAGTCCTCAGTGTGTCGTGCCACTCACGAGGTGCCTGGCGGAGACCGTAGACTGGCCGCCGGAGGCTCCACTGGGTACCAGGAGGAAAAGACCCAGTGAAGCCAGGTGGGCGGCGCAGCCAGATCTCCTCGTGCAGGCTGCCCTGCAAGAAAGCAGTGCTGAAGTCAAGAGAGTGAAGCTCGTAGTCACGGTGAGCGGCTATGTGCAGCAGTACCCGAAGAGTGGTCATCTTCGGGGTGGGAGAGAAGGTCTGAAAGTAGTCAAATCCCTGCCGCTGACTGAAGCCACGAGCCACGTAACGCGCCTTGAAGACAGGCGGAGAACCCGGCGGCCGCTTCACCCTGAAAATCCACATGCCACTGACGATGTTCGCCCCAGGAGGGGGAACCTCGTCGACGTAGGTGCCTGTGGACTTCCAGGAAGCCATCTCTGCATCCATGGCTGCCTGCCACTGAGAGGAGTAGGGACCCTCAATCGCCTCCGCGTAGGAGCGCGGAGTCGGGATGTCTAGTGCATCCGGGTCTCCCTCAGGGGCAAGCAGCATGGACACAAGATGAGGTGAAGCAGCAGAAAAGCACTGGAACTCCTCCTGCCTGTCCTCAAGGACGTCCGTGCCAAGAGCACACTCACCCCCGACGGACGGAGGACAGACAGACACAGACTCAGCGACAAGACTAGCAGCGTAGTCTAGGCGACAGCGAGCAGCGAAGTCGACAAGCTCAGAAACTAAGGCAGACGCAGCAGCGGACTCAAAGGAAGGGTTAGTGACAACAGTAGAAAGGAGACGCGTGACAGTAGGACTGGCAGCACGAAGGGAGTCCGACTCCGGGTCAGCAAGGACAGGAAGAGAGGACTCAGGAGGAGAAGGCAAAGGGGCACGCAGCGGAGCAGTGGAGGGACGCAGAGACATCCGGTGCATGCCTGGGACAGGGGGAGGACGCTGACGCGAACCACGACTACTAGTGCGCTCAGCACGAACAGGCGACGCAGGACGAGACGCAGGCTCACGACGCTCAGCAAGACCTCCAGTAGGACCAGTGTAGGGAGAAGGAGCAGGCAGAGGAGAGGAAGGCTGTAACTGTGACTCGGACTGGACAGGCGGTGGACACTCTAAGGGAGGAGCCGGACTAGCAGAGGGCGGAAGACCAAGAACCTGCTCAAGGAGCGGAACGAAGTACGGCCGCGGCCGCGCAGCACCACCAGCACCAGAAGGGACAGCACCAGCACCCCGAACGACAGCACCAGCGCCAGCAGCACCCCCAGCTCCAGCAGCGCCAACTCCAGTACCCTCAGAGGAACCAGCACGAGAGGCACCCTCAGCGCCCACACCCTAAGCAGCTCCAGCTCCAGCCGGACCACCAGAAGACGCAGCGGGTCCAGCTCTAGCACCCTCGGTAGCACCGACGCCCGCAGCACCACCAGCTCCAGGACGAGAAGCACCCGCAGGACCAGCAGCTCCAGTACTCCCAGTACGAGCACCTCCGGGACCCGCGGTACCAGCACCCTCAGCAGCAGCAGAACCTCCAGCACCCGCAGCACCTCCAGCTCCAGCAGCTCGCCTCCAGCGCCGGGCAAACCACTCACGCAGCTCCTGTGGAGAGAGTAGCTCCCGCCGGGACGAAGTACCCGAAGAACCTCCAGGCCCAGCACCGCCAGACGCCACACGAGTAGGTCCAGTACCCTCAGACTCCGCACCCCCAGACGCAGCACCCCCAGGCG